ATATATATATATATGCTCAGATAGTACATTTTTGAATTATTTTATATATTCAGATTTCTCTACTCAGCTTGGTTTAACATGTATGCGTCCTTGTCATCCTACTGTTATCTCCGGTCTGCTCTCCCGTATTCGTTATTTTTAGAAATTTGTGAATGCCAAGAAAGACACATACATGGGTTAGTTGATATTCAAAATTCTTGCACGCACTTCACGTTCCTTAAGCTCTGTTATACTTTGGAGAACTTTATTGGATTAGTTCCTTCCAAGCAACTTTTTATTTTGGTAGTTCTTTTGCATGTTCATGGTAAATTATAAACACTTTTGCCTATGTTCTCTGTACAAGTATAGTATTGTCTACAGCACAATATGCTAGTGAAATCTCTCTAAATTTATGGCTTTATTGGGTTTGACATGGTTAGGGCCTCTTATGCCTCCCTCTAGTTAAAGAACCAAAAAGACTCTGTACATTTCAAGTACTTGTTTCCCGGACCTCAACTGTGTGTATAGTATTCCTTGTACCGGTTTACATATCCTTGTTTCTTTAATTTTTCAAGATTTAATTTTCCTTGAAGCGGTAAAACGTTCAACCAAATTCATATAAAAAAGATAAATTTAAATTTGAAGGAAAGTCAAATAGTCCCTGTGCATACTGGTTGGATGTTGAATGTTCGAATGCTGTATTAGCAGGAAAAGTGGATGAGAAAAAATGTATGAAGATTTCATCAGACAAAAAGTTTGTGTAGAAAAGTTGATTTTATTGACATGCGGATTCCTGTGCAAAATGTTTTTGTACGATTATAGATTTTGTTTCTTTTTTTATGATGATAGATTGTCAAATCATTCCTAAGAAAATATTTTTGGAATTCAAATGATAACCGATTCATGCTGGGTTATTTTTCTCCCGAATCTCGAATCTGGTGTTAGAAGCCAAGTCTGGATGGGGAATTGGTCATTGTATTCTTCTTCTCTTCCTCTGGACTTGGAATGCAATGTTTGTTTATTTTTTTACCTGGTTAAGCTCTATACTAGAAGTAATCTTTTTTATTTTTTTAATTAAAAATATTATAATAATCAATTTAATAAAATTATTGTCAAATACTTTTGGTATTTTTATTAATTAATACTTTGGAATTCAAATGATAAAATGTTACTAATTAATACGAAAAAGTTAAAAACAATATTAATAACGATTATATAATTATATAATTATATCAAATTAATTAATATGATATTAATTTTTTATTAAAAATTATTTTTTAATTGCATCCATATTCAATCAACTCCTTGAACTCGGAGCGAGCGTTCTAGTCGACTTCACATCCACCTGAGCGCCCGCACGGCCCACGCCAAAAGCAACAGCTCCGCCATCATGCATGCACAGCTTCCCTTTCGCGGCAGGTTTCCACTGGAGATCCCTAGTTAGGAATGTAATAATATAAATCAAGTTTCATGCTTACGTGTTCATAAGAAAAAAAAGGACTGCGAGTCATCTAAGGATATATTAAAAAGTTAAAGTTTCAACTTTCCAACTACTCCATGTTTTAGGTGCTAAAAAAGGTTTTGAGCTGTCTGGAATTTTCATGCATGCAGACACGAAACAATACAAGCATTTAAAGTTGAAACAATGGTCTCACAAAAAATTGATGACACTCAGTTCTAAAACTTGGTTCCAGATTCAATGCCTCATCCAAAATATTCCCTGGTTAGAGTTTTCATTATCTACCAATGTTTTCATTACCAATGCTGCATCATTCTGGATGTAGCATAACGATGCTGTCCAGCAGAATCGTGATGACATTGAGTTCTAAGATTCTCAGTTTCGATTATTGAAGTTTACATAGAGATTGCTAAAACTTAAAAGGCAAGTTCCCCATGACTTTGTGAGTTTAGAATCACACGGTAAAAAATATTTAAGCCCTAGTTAACAAGAGCAAGCCTATCTAATCATATAAACTACGATATCTAGATAAGGTGGTCAATATAATCTATTGTGTCAATAAAAATATTTAAAATATTAAGTTAAAATCTTTAATATTATAAATATACAATAGCATTAAAAAGTTAAAGTATATTTTGAAAAATTATAAATTAATATTTTTATATTTTAAATGAGATAAAATAGAGTTTTAGCGATAAAAAATTCTTAGCTTAAAATATATTTTAGAAGATTTCAAATAAGATTAGATAGAGTTGTAGAGATTAAGATTCTGTAAATTTTCTTTTTAGAAATTCAATAAAGGTTTTCTTTTCCGACTTGATTTCTTCTTTTATATTTGGTTTGATATGAGCTAATAATACCTTTTGTTCAAGTGATCCTTCCTTTTTCACAAATAGCCACAGAAAAAATAAGAACCTTACTAACTTTGGCCTACGTGCTAAAATGTTGGATCTAATAACTATATTGGCCAAAATATAGTTATCACATTCATTATACTCTCATCAACCTTTGGCTCGACCATGATAAATCCATGTTCTTTGTCCATCTTACCCTTGTCGAACAACTACATGGACAAGATAATTAATACGAAAGAAAACCTTGTACTTCAATCAAAATTCCAAATCAGTTATTTGCTCAGTTGTAGGATGCAAGGGGATAGGGTATGGTTTGTCTCTCGTTGCGTTGTATATGATTGACTAAGAACTTTCAAACCCAACTAAACTCATCGAGTAATTGTATCATAATACAAACTCAAATATAACTCACAGAAACTCATTTAGCAGAGTTATCTAACTCATTTAAAATATAAAACAACCCGCTAAGACCAGAGTTATCTAACTCATTTAGCAGAGAGGTTAGGTTAGGTTGGGTTGGGACAAAAAGGTCAGAATAGAACACTTGTGACATACCTAAACCGTCAAAAACCTCACACCTGTCACGAGATCAACCTAATAATTGAGTGATTTATATTTTCACCCCATTTGTAGGACCAAAATAATTTACCCAACATAATTTACCCAAATATACATTGGGTTAATTTGGGCACGATCAAATCAACTTTCTTAGACTCAATCATGGCCGATTCGATAGTTAGTAATCACGCCATGTAACCAAACCATTATAAGCTCAACTTGAATCCGCTAATTTCTTGTCTGTTTTCAAGTCGGTTTTGATGGTTGATACATGAATGCTCACCCCTACTAACTTTTGATCTCTAAGAACTCAAGAAAAAGTCACCAACAAATGAGTTGCCTCGCAATATTTATTGAATATTAAAAGGATTTAGGTGTTTGATATCTGTAATCGTTAACTTTTTCTACATCTATGCAATCAGGAAATAAAACTACTGCCAGGTGATGTGTTTCTTACCGTGTTTCTTGAACCCTCTCTGAAATAGCTCCTGCCCATGGTTGAATCTTCTGCTCCTATGATCATCAATAGGAAGAAAGAAACAAATGAATACATCGAACGCTAAGATCCACGATCCAAGAAATGCAACAGACTCGAACAATATCAACACACACAAGAAGGGCAGGAGGGATGAGAGACCCACCAAACTGTTGCCCCCAACTGCTCATAAACAGCCAGGTCGGATGAGGATTTGACGCCCCCATCGGCAGTGACGGAACCGTCGGCGCGACTCGCGCAATGATTCGATCCAGAATTGGAGTCCTCTTCCTCCTTCCGCAGATTGAGATCGTAAAACAAATAGAAAAAGAATCAAGAAACCATCAAGTAAAGTAAAAAATGTTTCGGTATCGGAGAAACACGAGCAACAGATCAAGAAAACAGCAAGAACTAATCAATGTTCACAGAAACCATAGAGACGAAGAAAAACCGATCGAAACTAGAGCTTCTCAAACAAAGAATAGAATCAAGAACCACAGATGATAGAATAGATTGTGATCCCTAAACAAATAAAACAGAACAAGAAACCGTCACGGAAAGCCAAAAAGGTATACGAGATCAGGGAGACACAAGAAATCAAGAGAACAGCAAGAACCAGATCAATATTAAGAAATCCGGAAATCGAAAAGAAACCGATCGGAACTAGACCTTGTATGTCGAAGAAAACGAATCGAGAAGTCAGAAACGTTTTGAGATGGGCCAGAAGCTTTACAGGATCAGAGAGACACAAGCAAGAAATTAAAGGAAACACATCAGGGACTGACCAATATCCACAGAAACCATGGAAACGAAGAGAAACCGATCGGAAATGGAGCTTGTATATCGAAGAAAAAGAATCGAGAAGCCAGAAACGAGTCAAGATGGGCCAAAAGGTTTACGGGATCAGAGAGGCACAAGCAAGAAATCAAGGAAACAGCAGCAGGAACCGACACATGATCAGAGAAACCCTAGAATCGAAGAGAAACCAATCGGGCCCAGAGCTTCTAGAACAAAAAAAAACGAATCAAGAAGTCAGAATCGAGTCAAGATCGACTTCACCTCGCGAGGGGTGGCTCGTCTCTCCCATCAGTCCGCCTCGGAGACGGCTCTCTCCGGAGAGAGCGATCGACGCTGGCGGTGGAGGAGATCGGGGAGATTCCCGTCTCCTCGCGCCTCGCCCTCACGAAGGGGCGGAACGTCTCACACTCCATTCATTCACACATTTATTTATATTCCGGTATTAGCGCAAATCTCAAAGCAAATTTGAAAGAGAAGTCGCGCGCACTCGGCTATCTGCGATCGCATGCAAAAACTGCCTTCGATCCAGCTGTCATGATCGGAAAATTGACATTAGACGATTAGGACCAAATTCAATTAATAAATCTTAATCCAACTTAAGCGATGAATGAATGCTCCGAAATATTTTGTGAATAATAATCTTAAATTCATTAATAAACACCGATGCACATAATTAAAACAACACTATCTTTCTCTTTCTCACGCACCCGACACGTGCTATCTTTATCATTCTTTGTGGGATAGTATGAACACAGGTGATATGAAATGGATTCACAAATGTCGTCTTATCCAACTTGGGCCAATGAAATAAGTTGAGCTAAATGGGCTCTGGGCCTCGGCCTGACATGAGTCGCGCAGTCCTAAGTTGTCTTCCGATGGCAACCTTTTCTACTGTATATTTGCCCCCTACTGTACGATTCATATTATAAATTGACATGCTGCTACGAGATCAACGATGCTTATCGTTATCATTACGCGTAAGGAACTCGAAAAGCCCAATGGACGAGCCACGGAGCTCGAGGAAGTTTTGGGGAGAAGACTTTGAGTCCTTTAGGAAATGCTTTTGCGAGGGGGGAAGGGGAAGGGGAAGGGGGAGGGGGAGGTAGGGACACCAAAACATTATCCTGTAAAAAAGGTCAGCGAGTGTACGTGGAGCAGCTGCACGGCATGCAGCAGTAGCAGTCGGCGACAAAGCTAAACGCAGCAGCGGAGGAGAGGATGGGAAGGGCATCAAAGTTGGGTGATCTCAGAGGTCAAGTCACACTGGGGGAGTGCAGTGGCAGGTTCACGTGGGCTTCAGCGAGCTCAGGGGTGAGTTCCAGGTCCGGGGATGGATAATTAAGCGAGAGCTGCGCCTGTGTCTTCCATGGTCGCGCAGAGGGCAGCTCTCATGTGCCATGGGCCCTGCGAGCCATTGATTCCATGTACCGGAAACAGCACCCCTCCAAGGTTGTGTTGTGGCCAACGGTCTCAAGGAGGTCCTCTGACACCCCATGCTTCCCCGTGTCCAAACCTAACTTCTACTACCTCTGGCCCCTCCTGCAGCTGCTGCCATATGTATAACTCTCGCTCCTCTCGACGATGGCCGCCTTGCTTCTCTGCTGCTGGGTTTCCACATCTCGAGCTTTCTGGATTCACTCCCATCTACTTCATTAATCCTAAACTACCAGTTGGAGGGTGTCATCGTTTCATATCTCATCAATAAATGTCTGCAGAACGTGGGAAGTGGATGAAGTTCTAATTGATGGTGGAAGCGGAGAGAATCCCAGGCTCTTGGGATTCGCCACCGGGCTAAGCTCTTCCCTGCTGATCACAGAGCTCTTAATGGCGTTCTTCGGGAGTACATGCCCATCACATGCAGGAGTTATCGTCGCCTACGATGGAGTACTCGTGGTTCTCCACCACTTGTGTCGTCGAACCACATATTGCAGAAGGATTCAGCGAGTCAGTGACAAGGACTAGCTTTTAAGATGGTAACGGGAGGAAGGAGACCGGGTTGGCAACACAAAGGACGTACTTGGATTGGATAGATAAGACTAAGGGATAAATATATATATGTATATATATATTCGCCGAACTCATCTTAATTAGATGCGCATCATGTACATTTTGGCTCACTGCTGGTCGATTGCATGAGACAAAAAGGGAACGTTTAAGTGACACGACGAACGCACAAAACCTTTCTCACTGCCACAGTAACATTAATTGCTTTCCCTTTATCGCCATCGTTGAGACACTTCACGCACTGACAGTAAATTAAGGCTCTTTGACCGACTAGATCTCCGCTATCCCATACATAAATGCCAAAACGAAAACCCTTCTTTTCTTCTTTGCACAGATGATCTATCATCGTGTCTACAGTCTGTTGAATGATCACCAACAGCATTCAAAGAGTCGAGAAAACAATTGTTGGCTTCTTTTTCTTATGACGTAGATGTATGGTCATTATCATCAGGAAATAGTATTGTTATTTCTGGGAAGGACCGGCTTCGGATACAGTAAGTCAGAGGCAAACGAACCCAATAAATGACATCAAAGTAACAAAGAACAAACCAGCAAACATAATAATGTATAAGGAGAACGATGATAAGGTTTTGTGCTGGAACATGTACTTTCAGACATAGGGTTCTTCGTTTGTGCCTGACAAATTCATACTCCTTTTGCGAGATACAATACCCATATCACAACTCGAGTGTCAAGTGAAGAATACGTCTGGCTGTATTTGCCAATAGAACAGTACAAGTACTGAGGAATAGACTTTGATCGATGGAAAGTGATGCAACGAAAGAATGTTCACTTTGATTCCCTTTCGAATACCATACATTCGACACTTTATACTTCTCATCATCAGCGGTAAGTTGCATGGGATAATTTAGAGTATGAAGTTCCTCAGAAAACGTAAGGTATTACTCCCATGCATTCATGCAGTTCAATAACCTGTGGGCTAAAAATCTCCCGGACGCTATTTTTTAAGTCCTAACTTATCACTGCCATGTGATCTCCAGCAGAGATACGTAAAGATATTGAGAAAATTTCGAGCCCAGTCCGGATGATGTACCAGTATCTGGATGGGATTTCAGAAACTAAGACTTGCACCGCTGTAGCAGTACTTGTAGAGGACTATCTCAAACAGTGACAGCAGATCGAGGCTGTAGAAAGATATGGCGGAAGGCAAAGGTTCAAGATGACCCTTTTAACATTCGTGTTCTTCATGGTGATGGAAGGTGATTTGTACATGACTACACGAAGCAAAGACAGTGCACCAAAACAGAGCAGAGAAAAGGTGGTGGTGAAAGGGTTACAGACGAGGAAGAAGCCTTCTTTGGTTACCATTTTTGGTTAGAGAACACGGGATAATTCCCTCCCCCCCGCCCCCCAGAAACAGTGAGGTCTATAGTCTTTGGTCATCAGCGACCTCTCGCTTCTCGAACAGCCCAAGCCTGTTATCAGCCAGCCTTGATTTGTAGGTAGCCTTCTTGTACTCATCCCATGTGAACTCCTTGTACAGGCTGTGCTCCCCCTCTCCCATCAACTGTGGCAATGGAGCAATCTTCTCTGCTAAGGGTGGCCCAAAGAAGTAGATCATGGAGACCCTGGACTCCCAGCCACTGGCCACCACCCTATGCTTCACGCTCCTGAATCTCCCATTTGTCAGAACCTACATCCACCAGCCATGCCGAAAAATCATGTACCGCACGCTTAGTTGCAGAAGGAAGCCCGTGGATACAAAAATTAAATTCATCTACCTGGGTTAAATCATGACAAGTAGCTATAACAGTAAGATGATGAAGTATATAACGACATCAGAGAAGCACTGGAGCACTGTTCTTGGTGTAAAAGACGATGCAAGTTCTTCGTAAAAGATACAGAGCACTGACATAGCACTATTCGCTTTCTACCAGACAGATAGGCTTGTTCATGGTGTAAAGGGATGGGTTTCTTGATACTAAGATGAAGCAAATCAGTCCAAACACAAAGGAGGAATGTTTGAGTGGTCACCTGCAAGGAATCACCGACGTTGATGAAGAAGGACTCTTCGTCCGGAGGAACGGAGACCCAGCTCCCGTCCTTGAGTGATATCTGCAAGCCGGTGCTATTGTTTGATCTCAAAACAGATATGACCTGTGGATCTGTGTGCTCTCCAAAGCCGGTCAAGCCGTAATTGTAACCTCGGAGCACCGGGCATGGAGGATAGTGGTTGAGCCTAAAGATTCCGTCACTGTTCTCATCCATGACAAGCCTACTGATGACGTCTCTGGGCTCGATATCTAACCCTTCCGCCATCAGTTCAAGCACCTTGGAAGCCAACTTCCTGACGGCTGCCAGGTATTCCTTCAAAGCAGAGCTGCAACGTATTCCACCAACCAAACAGGAAGCGTAAGAAAGCAGTTTCCGCCACCAACCATATGCTAACCTATGTAGACGAGGGAGGAAGATACAAAGGTGCAAACACCTATGGGAATTCATTCGCAAGCAATGCAGCTAGAGTCCTACCTAAAAGAGCATGCGGCGGGCTCTCGAAGAAAGTCCATGAACGTGTAAGACAATGGCTTGGAGGCGACGGCGAAGAGAAGGTACTCCAACCACCCGATGTCGCCATTAGCGCCGATCTTTCTGTTTCCATAACCAAAAGGATCGGGCGGCCCAGACCTCTCCTTCTCCACCGGAGACAGGGAGAAGAACTTCACAGCCTCCGCCTCCAGTCTCTGCATGAGCTCCACGGGAATCCCGTGGTCGGTGACCTTGAGGAACCCAAACTCTTCGCAGGCCTCGACGACGGACGCTGCAGCGTCGGGCTTCGAGAGGTCGATGACGGGAACGCATGGCGAGCAGGCGATAGCTTTCGGCGATCTAAGGAGCGAGATTTGATCCAGTCCTGGGTTGGACAAGACGACCATGGTCGCAGGGAAACAGAGCAGAACAGAGAGGGGATGGAGTTCCAAGGGGACCGCCGTGTAGTAGAGTTGCATGTGAGGCGGTGGGCTTCGTAGCCCCTTTATATAGACACGAGGCCACCTAAAAAAACATGGTGATTGATACAAGTACCAGATTGATCGATCGATTGATTGATCCAAATCAAGGGTGGTGGGTGTAACCACGAGTCTGGGTGGTCAATGGACCCGAATCCGATCTGGCATCTCGGGTATTAAACACGCGTTTTAGATCCAATAAGTTCATCCTACCGAGTGAACGATCCCACGCGTACACGTGGTGATGCGCTTTTGCATCCAAAAGGCGATGTGCTACGAGCGGCGGATCTGTGGCGAGCTCGACCAGAATCGGATTCCCGATCGTTTTCTTCGCCCACCATGCGAAGTATATGCGTCGGCGAATGTGGCTCGTCCAATTCTCATCTCCTGTGAAGACCTGAGTCGGCCACGTCGGCCCAAATGTGACCCATACAATGAGTTACATGGACATCCTCGTTCGAGCCTCACAGACCACAGCTCAAGTGGTCAACGCCAATATGATTGACCAGAACAAGCTCTGGACAATATTAGTGGGGGATTGACCGACCACTATGCGTAGGGGCCTTTGGAGTCGGCGTTTCTCCCATGCAGACGATGGAACGTCGACAGAATTAGATTGGCCTCTTGACGAAGGCTTCACAATCAATGGAGGAGATGGATAATAAACATCAGACGATTTAGGTGATGGATAGTAGATGTGAACAGTGCTGTGTTGGGACGATCAATGCTCGGATATTGAATGCTAAAACGAAGAGCGACGGGTTCAAAGGTCCCCTGCAACTTCTCAGGAGTCGACGCAGTCACTTATATGCTGATGTTTGCCTATAAACCTCTGTATCCATCCAAAATATAGATAAAAATGACCTAAAAGGATTTTAATATTTTTATCATCATAAAAAGCTTTTAAATAAAGAAAATTAATTCGACTGGAATTCAACTCTCGATTATATCCAACTGATGGAGATTATATATAAGGACAAGTACGGCAGATTTTAGGTTCTGAAAGGTATGTGTGTGTCTCTCTCTCTATATATATATACATATTTGCTTAGCAAAAGACTCAGGTTTCAAATGCATCGATCGTCACTGTTGTGGGAGCATATATGAGCAAATCAATAATTTATAAGGTGGAAAGTAGGACGAGATCGTTTTCTTGTCCAAAGTTATTTTGGGCACCCGACTGGTCATCAAAACTCAGCAACCAAAATACTACTGCTTTAGCCCCTGGATTTAGAGAGAGCGAGAGAGAATGCTTTCTCTCGGTTAACCAAGGAACTTCTCAAGAACAAATTCACCTGCTGTCGGTGAGGTAGACCTCCGTCTGCCCCCCAGCGTCGGGTGCTTCTTCCGCCCACTGTAAGACCTGAAGAGTACTTCAGATGCGTGTCCCAGGAATTCCCATCTCTGGATTAGTGTCTCTCTCAGAGAATATCTGACGCATGGACCTCACATCTCTCTCCTTCGGTAAGTAGGAAAGCCAAACACTAATATTCCTGCCTTATTTCTGTCAATTTCATGCTTTTTCGGCCAGAGGAGACCCAAACAGTAATACCGACACATTCTTTCTATTGGCTGACCGCATGCTGTTGTTTTTGCTGTGTATGCAGATACATATGCTTGGGATGGATCTTTGTCCGGCCTATTTGTTGGTCATAAAATCATGATGGATTGCTAATAACATTACTCGAATAAAGTTTCTGTTCGTATCAACTTGAAATGGGATAGGTTTTGGAGCTCGATTAATGGGCTATATCCCAGCCATCGAGATGCTTCGTGCAATGTCTACGATGAGAGTGGCAATGGAACATCGGTTTGTTTAGAACCAGTCGAGCAGTACGTACACAGATGACGAGCATGAAGGTACCATCATGAGATGTAATCGTCACCATACCAAAAACATTTAGGATTTCTTTTTTCCTTTTAAAGGGAAAATTAAGAAGACTTCGTGTCCTTTCACGAGGAGGAGAGCTGCGTGAGCTGACCAAAATAACATGACACGTCCCAGCTCAGTACGTGGTGCAGGGACTAACTGAGCCCTTTGACTTAATGCCACAGGATCGTAATCTTATCCATACCAGAAGCAGCACAGCGGAAGGAAAGGATCGATGCTCCAGTTCAGAAGCGTGCATGAATCTGTCACAAAAACGACATCGGTGCTTCGCTTCAATGGATGCATGATCGAATGCGGGTTGAATCATGGAAACTCAGTCCAAACGACAGCACAGCAAATAAAAGTGAACGAAACCCCCACCTGGAGGGGGAGAAAAGGAGAAGATAAGGTGCATGCATGCGTTGCTGCTGCAGTATGGCTTGGGGGGACGTCGGAAGATGTGGTCAATGCCATGGACGATCTGTACGTGTCCTTTCCAGCTCTATCTGTTAGAACTTCTGCTGCTCTTTCAGCGTAGGAGATTAGTTTTTCCCCACACCTTTCCTTCATTTTATCTCCCTTCTTTTTCCCCGAAAGTGAATTTTGATGGCTCTGATATTAGTACACTGCATTTGGTGGGATTATGAGAGCAATAATTTGCTGTAGAGTGGACCCAGCATCGCCGCATACAATAATGAGGTTCTTCCAATTAACATAAACTGCATTGAATTATTGTGTTCATCTGCTGAGCATACCAGACAGCGATAATCTGCAAGAAAGTGGCCGCACAAGAGTGGCTGAATGTGATTATGTCGAGTTAAGGAATCCGTCATTTTGCATCATAGTGCATGCAAAATGACAGATTCATAACATGCGGTAACACAATGAGATCAGCCGACATGGTGTTACCGCATGTGAGGCATAGTCACAGCAACAGTTTAAAGATATCAGAATCAAATTATGATAAATATCTACCAAAGACCAGCCAAATTAATTAGAGTACAAGTAAGACAAGTTGCTCGTTACATTTATCTCTTCTTTATATCATGCTCGGATAAAGTACATGCAATGCCCAGCTTTTAGATCCCAGTACATCTTCCGGATCATGCGGCTGTAAACTCCATGATCTCGGAGGTGTTACGACTCCTATCGGTCAATAGTGCGGAATCTTCTTGTGGAGGTACGAAGCCGACCAACTCAGAGCAAGTTGCAATTCTAACGCCCACCTTGGTTGGTGAGCTACAGGTGTTCAAGGCAAATCTTTTCGACGTAGACCCTCTCATGCAAGTGGCGCGCAGCTTGGCCACCAGAGAGAGAGAGAGAGACTCTGTGGAAAGGATATGATTGTGAGACAACTTGTTTGAGATATCTATCTTGTCATCCATAGTGAGGAGAGCTGATGGTTCTTGGGAGTGCGTGGATAAGGGTCTCAGAGAGCAGTGGCCATTGCCTGAGACAAGAGTTGGAGGAAGTGAGAGTTGGCAAGGGGCGATTGGGAGGCAGACTTTTCCGGTGGGTGTCGAGAGATCGCTCTCGGATCTGCAACTACAATTATGGTGTACGGAGATCTGAAGGGAGTAGTGAGCTGATAAGGCTAAAAGATTCAAGATGACACCGAGGATAAGGATCGCAAAAGCCAAAGCAGGTGCAGTTGGTGGTGATCTCGTGGGGAGGCCGCGCTTGCTTTGTGAACACCGAGGTAGAAACGGAACGGAGGATCACGGTACGCCGTCACATCGGACGGTGATATGAAGCGATCGGTGATGTGGGGCGCAGCCAAATGGACCCGCTAAGTGTGACGTGAACCCTGAGGCATTCCATGTATCGAATGTGGTGGTATCGGATTGGTTCCACCAAGGATCCAATAAACTAACAGAAGAGTTGAACCGGATGATATTAAATCGGTTCAGGTTGTTGAGAGTTTAGGCCCGGCCCATTTGGCAACATCGGTGAACCCTCCCGGGCCGTGCGTTGTCCAATGGGACGATCACCTGTGCTTCGTGATCGATGATCACCAGGATCAACGGACAGATCGTTTCTCTCATCTATTTTATCTCGCCAGGCTTGCTTGACTCGATATACTCTTCTCACATCCATCAAGAGAGCTGCTCGAATCCGAAGATAAAAAGCTAAAAGATTAACAGAGAGAGAGAGAGAGAGAGAGAGAGAACTACAGAGAAGAAAAAGATTCACGTAGGAGCTCATGGTTTGTAATGTGGTATGCTGTAGTTCATGAGTGTATTACTTACTCGTTGTACAACATTAGATGTATAGTTTAGTAGGACTTAAACCAAAGTGGAGCTCTACATGTCTCGTGTTATCCTTCATCTAAATAGACACATTAGACATATCACATGATTCAGGCAGCCTGGTAGAAACAACCAATCAAATGGTCCAACAGACATGGGATTACTCTGTGCTCTGTTGCCATGGAGTTATGAAGGTCCAATTTATGAACACAGGACTCCATCGATGCCCAGGTTCGTGACAAGCTTCCACGAACAAAACCATTTCATATTATAATGGCTGCAAATATATAATGACATTACAGTTGGAAGAAATGGTTTCTCCAGACCTTCATACTATCCATAATAATACTATCATCAGTAAAAGCAAAACTAAGAAGCAGGTTGCAAACTTGTGCCCTTTGTGCTACCTCCAAAGACGTCACCTTCAGATAACCTCGCAGCATCGCACACGAAAACGTAGTAATTACCTCAAACACATGGCAGGAGAGCCTTTGGGCTTCAGGCCACAACCATAATGACTGCCACGACCAGACCTAGGAGAGACGCAATCCAACTGGACTTCACGGCCGGCGATCCGGAGATCCCCCACACCCTCACCTCGTCGACCACCGGCCCGCAGAGCGAACTCCGATCGTCGCTCCTCGTGTTGTAGTACACGCTGTAGAAGGCGATGCGCGTCCGCTCGGCCCGCGCCGTGAAGGTGATGTTGGCCGGCTGGTGGGTGGCGTTGCCCGTGGGCGAGTAGTGGAAGTTCTGCGCCTGGTCCCCGGCGAAGGCCATCACCGCCAGAGGCGTCTGGCACGAGTCGCCGGCGGCACCTACCGTGAAGGTAAGATTGTACTGCTTTTCAGGGGTGGTCTCCACCATCTGGGAGATGATCCCTTCCTTGCCGGATAACAGCTCGATGGCGCGCTTCCCCTGGGGGACGTCGAAGTGGTAGGAGTCGACGTAGCGCACGGCGCGGTTGGACTCAACCATCCAGCCGGAGAGGGCGGACGTCTCCTCGTCGAGGTTCGTGGGGAGGAGGACCCCGAGGCTCGCATTGGGGAACATCCATGGGCCTTCCTCGAAGTCGCCATTCACGACGGCGTTGTCTGCAACGTCGTGACCAAAGCACGATCACCCATCTATGCGCATACAGAGGCGTGCAGAAGGAAGCAGGGGAATCGGATCATACAGCACCTTCGGGTCGATCGGGAGTGAAGAGTTTCTTGATGGCGATGTTGTCGATGATGGGGCCGCAGGTGGGGTCGTCCTCCATGCCCGGGTTCTTGAAGCTGAGCTTCGACACCGCCCCGTCCTCGGCCTGCGCCTGGAACGCCCAGGCGTAGGCGTCCCACCCCTCGACGCTGTAGAGCGTCTGCAGGTCCACCGTCTGCGTCGCCGGCCACACTGACACGTTCAGCGACTCCAGCTGCGCGCACGTCCGCGCCGCGCTGAACGTCACCGCGTACGTCGACCCCTTCTCCAGCTGCAGCTCCTGCGATATTTCCGCGTCGTTCCCCAGCCGCACCGCGTGAACCCCTGCATCCACATTGTCCAGTCCACAGTCACCTCATTCACTCGTCATTCCAATAATAATATCGTAGACCGCAAGCTTGTGAAACAGAGACAGGATTCTCTAACACGACTGACACTGTGTCAGCGCGGAAAGGAAATCCTCAGGTTCAATTAAGAACTCAACTCGACAAGGAACGTGATCCCGCTTGGTGCCGTGTATGACCTGATGATTCTATTGGCATGCATGTCCTTATCTGTATAATGTTCTCGCATGAGAAGTGGAACTTAAGCTAATAAAGAGTGACGGCCATGGGAAAAGATGGATGCTTTAGGAACTCGAGAAAGGGAGTGGACCGGTGTCATAGGGAAAAAGGATTCGGAGCACTGTTCAGGGAAAACACTAAAAGCAGAGATGAGACCGGGCAAAAGAAACCAGGGGCACTGTAGCTCTGTTACCTTCGGGGACTATAAGTATCATGCCACCTTGCTTTTGCCCAGACTCCACCAGCTCCACCGTGCCATTGATGGTCCACCCGGGCAGGGAAGCGACACCTTCCCCCAGGCCGCTACCGGAGGCCCCGCCTGCTGGCACCGTCTCGAAGGCCCCGTTGTTAACCAAACCTACGGTACGAGTGATCACAGCGTCATTATTCCCATCGAGATGAGTAAAAGCAAGCAAAAACAAACACTCAAGGGCACAGGTTTATAGACACGAGCAACTATGGCCGTGAAAGAGGGCATCGGAAGCAGGTCCAACGTTTGTGACAGGAAGGGGCAGCCAAAGGCTGCTGCTCCATCTCCGTCGGCGTCTGATCCCTTCCCCTTTTCACGGTGCTCGTAGTTCCAACCCAAACCTCGGGTCAATCGGCAACCAAGATAAAACAAGCAGGTAAGGTAGACCTGTGCCAGCACATGGGCGATTGGGCCCCCCATTTCTCACGCGACCGCCGTGAGAGCTTCCCACTCCCGCACAGTGAATCGATTCATCTCACCATCAAAATCTTGTATGAGTATTTTGTTTGGTAGGGTGTTGATCTAGTGATATTATTACTCCACATAATTCCGTGGGATCACGCGGTCCCAATCTAATAATGAATGCACATGAAGGTAATAAGTTGGCGTAACACACGCGCGAGACAACGCAACACCCGAATTGATTTAGCATCAAAGGTACGGTAAAGCGAGAGGCAAAAGGAAAAGAGCACTGCTATGATTTCTGTACTAAATGGGATGATAGCGACGGAAGGTAGGAAGAGAAAGAGCTATCTAAAATATTTGTTGGGGCGTCAACATAGTCTTCTGAAAGCAATCTGACCTGACCTGATGACTAGTTTAGTTCTAACACGTTGTAGACAATCGATCTGATTAAGTAGGACCCATATAGTTTAGTTCTAACTCTCGACCTCAGCGATCTTAGGATGCCGATCACCTTTCACCGTGGTGGACGCCGCGCTGTGGATTTCTACGGGGACTCTGATCGATTACGACACGCAAACTACTTCCATGGGGATGAAGCAGTCGGGAGTAGGGTTTAGGAGAGGCGTCTCCTTTCGCTGCCATGGTCGTTTTCGAGCTTTCCTTCTCCGGGAGTCACTGTTATCATCTTTTTCTTCTAACGACTGACTCTAAAGGAATCCTGAGAAGAGGCTGCTTCCCGGCTCAGCAGAGTCTAGGAGAAAGAAGAAGCAACTCCAGAGCACAGATTATTCGTAAAAGAAACAAACAGCATCATAAGACATAGCGATCTCACAAATGCTTCTCTAAGAATGCAAGAGGCAGGAGATGTTCCTTAACGGAAACCCCAAGAAAGAAGGCCCGATGTAGCGGAAGGCTAAGGAGGCGTACCATCTTCTAGTGCAGCTGCAGCACGCCGAGCGAAGAGGAGGAGGAGGAGGAGGAGGGCACCGAGAGGAGGAAGCCAAGCGCGTTGAGTGGCAGAGCGAGGCATCTCCGACTCAGGAACAGGAGGCGAGCGAGTTCTTCCCCCCTTTCCCTCTTCCAAGGACACAGTCACACACTCTCTCAGTGGGCCGTTTACCACTCCCTCCGCTTTTATCGCTGATTCCCTTTGTTTTGTTTTTGGCTCCATTCACACTATTTTATTGCTGGAAAAGCAAAAGCAGAGGCGTTAATTTTGCTTCATATCTTCTTCCTGCTGTGTGTGTGTGTTTTTAATATTGAAAGCAACAAACAGTAAGAACAGAGAGAGAGAGAGAGAGAGAGGAGTTATGGAGTGCACTGTTATCCTATCTTTCCGCGTTTTGCGTACCGAGTGCCCTCCTCCGCTTTCTGACTGGCATCCATTCGAGGGTTACTTTTGTTTTACTTTGTATAATTGTTTCTTAGCTTCTCATTTGGACAAAATGTCTCTGCTACTTCATTTTAAGAAAGACTCAAACCCGTGACTAGCGTCTTGACATGACAGTGATGCTTTTGAGAACATACGAAACATGTAAATGAGCCCATTTATCGACACCCATTTGTTAGAAAGGCTGATCATGTCATCCAAGAACATACCGTCATGTCTCCGAGAGGATGCATGTGCTGATCATCAAAACAAAATGGGAATCAGATAATACTTTCAGTGTCAACACGTATAAATAATCTTTAAAAGCCCGTAATTAACTTAGTGATCGAGTACGAAGAGGAGGAAGAAGAAGAGGCATGTAAGTCTCTCTGCGTGTAGGTTAGGGGTGAAGGGTGCATAGCTCAATGGTCTAGCTTAATAAAAGCTCACACACGTAGATCATACATAGGTGCAGACTCTCTTCCTTTATGGGTTCCACGGGCAATAATGCTGCTGCGGTGGATTCCAACATCGTAAAGTCCACATGCTCCCTATACATCAAGTCACTTCATCAGCTCTGCAAAGTATTGAAAGTGGTAGTCATGGTGGCAGCTATTGGGCCCTTGTTGGCAATATAATGGGCCTGGCCCAGTCTCTCTCTCTCTCTCTCTCTCTCTCTCTCTCTCTCTCTCCAGCTGCAGACTTGCACTGCCTGGGCATGCCTTCCTGTCAATCTGATCAACGTTCACCCCATGATAGTCTTATGATGCATTCTAATAACTATCCACATCCAAAGAATAAATACCTCTCAGATCTATTTTTGTCAAGAGGGTCAATAGTCGAGACATGTAAATTATGTGCCAATGGTGTTCTCATGTTACCAGTCTACAGGACCAGAGTACGGACCTTTTGTTTCGTTGTGGCTGATGAACCTCTCCATGGAGAGAAAAATGTAGCCATATTTTCTTCATGGTAGAGAAGCAAGGCAGGTAGATGCACCATTTAATGGCATCGAGTACACCATTTTGAAGCAGCCACTCATATGTTTGTTTGTTTGTTTGTCTGTCTTCTCCTTCGGTAGTCATGTCGGTCCAGCCTTCTCGGCTTCTTGTCCGGATGCATGAACTACATTAGGTTTTACGGCACTCACATTACATCCTTTAACCTCTTTAGTGGAGCTTTGCACTCTCCAGTAAAGTGATAGTCTGCCACTATACATCACACTGACGATCGAGTAAAAGAAAAGAACCCTAATTAATATCTTCTACATTGTCATATTGCTTGTACACTTCTTGTAGTGGTCTTCTCTCGAGTCCTCTCTACCACAAAGAAGTCGAAAAAAAAGCATTGGCATGCATGGTTGCATCCCAGGATTCACAGCTTGAGGGTCCACACGCACAATGAAGTCAGGAGACAGCCTGAAGTCACAAGCAACTTCCTAGGCCTGTGACCGCACAAGAATGGCAGTGGATGAGCTGCATGTGGACGGTGGGTTCTCAAGTCTACGGCCGAATGCTGTCAAGGACGTCGGAAGAGAGCACAGATCCACCCACCCACCTAACATCGCCATGTGCTCGACCAAATGCCTCCTTTTTTCACTTGGTCGAGAGGGCAGGCATTCAGCGCAGATCCAACCATCCAACCAAAGGCAAACTTTATTTACCGTCTCACTAGTTATATCCCTCTCGGAGCTAATGCTGTCTTGCTTTCTCCTTTATTCTAGTGGATCTTCAAATGGTTCACTAGTTATATGTACAACATAAAAGAGCCTTAAGTGTGATCATAAGTGTTCATCATCAAAAACCTCAAGTTTGTCGGGTGTTTCAGTGACAAATGCTCTTCTTCTGAGTCATTTTTAGCGATTAATATTACTTTGTTGCTAAAGGCTATCCTGTTTGGGTAGCCCATCTGAACTTGGATAATATGCATCTTCCCATCAAATCCATATCCCTCGGTTTCTGCCATGTTGTCGGCTTTCCTTCCCTGCTCTGTCCTGCCAACTCACACGTAAATGTGTTATATTTAAGACTTGCCCTGTTGATGATGCCACCTCCCTGTTCCTGTCCCCCTTCTCCACATTTGCTCCATACCTCACTTTATAGCTTAGCTGGAAAGTTCGCTTGATTTGATTAATGAGGCGCTCTCTGCCTGTGATCCAAGCAATTGAATCTATCTATTCATCTACCTCACTCACATGAGAGCAGTTGGTGCAGTGCCTTATTGTTTGTGGTGGCATTGAAGCCAATCCACAACCTACTGTTATATAAACCCCAATGTCATAGCAATCACCAACTCCTCATCTCATCGGCCTGACATCTCGTTCTTTTGCGCTCTCTTCTTCTCTTTCCCCTTTCCTCGGAATGGCGTCCATGACCGCTGATGGTTGGGAGAATTCCTTTGACGAGGATAACCTCGATGACATATACGTTCCCGAGATCGATGACACCCTTCTGATGAAGTGGTTGGATGAGTCTGCGGCCGAGGAGTTCGACGGTGACCGGGTCGAGACAGTAATCCGGTCGTTGGAAGACGAGATGGCATCTGGCGGTTTCGTCACGGCGCCGGACCAGGCGATCCTTCATCCTGACGAGGACTGCGAGGACTGTGGCTTGGATGACATCCTCTGCGACCTCGACGGCCACGATTTCTCGAGATATGCCGTCGATGATTGCTTTAACTGGATGGAGATGGAGGCGGAGGCAGAGGTGATCACGTGCCCGGGCGGCTACGCCGGTGACTGGTACGTCGACCAGTGCATGCAGGGGGCGGCTGGCTGTGATGACTCGAAATGTTATTTTTCGTTTTACCACGGGGGTGGGGCCATTTCGATGGAGCAGATCTACCATTCATTGTGGGAATGAACAGTTCGATGACGGAGCTGCGGTGACGCCGGTGGGTCCACCGGAGTTGAGTGGGTCATTTTTTTGGTTTCCAGTGTATTTTTCAACCCGTGTAGGATTTCTTTTTTTATGGTGTGTATAAATCCAGTATTTTGAAGGGTATTTTCTTATTACAGTAAAGGAAAATAGATGTTGGAGACAACGACAGAGAGAGAGAGAGAGAGAGAGAGAGAGAGAGATTGACGCTATATACATATAATTACCGTGTGTGTATATATATACACGTGGGTTCGTCGGTTTAGGTTAACAATATAACGGAGGGGGAACACTGTAGCATCACGTGGAATGTACTAATACGGTTAATTAATTAAAACATGTATCGGAAATAAGACCTAATTATTTATATATGATAACTACGTACGATCAATTTAATTATATTTTATGTGAATAAATCTGATTATTTTAGTGATGTTTTACATATGTTATAAGTTGTCATATGATAACATCTATGAATAAAAAATAAAATAAATATAAAAAAGAGTAATTGAGAATTATAAATTCATCTCCAAAGTCTATCAATTAAGAATAATATAAAATATACAAAATAATTTTCAAATCAAATTAAGAAATATTATTTTAATATTCACTTAGTCTATAAAAAGGAAATAGAATATCGTAATGAATCATTAGAGAATGGATCAGTAAATTATACTGATATGATTTTATCGTCTACATTCATTCATTCATCACATTAGTTTATTTTTTAAAAAGAATAAATCGCATAGTTTTTGAATTTTATATTTTTATTATCTTTTAGTTGTCATATTTTTCATCTCTTCAAATTTTCTATAGAAGAAAAAACCACTGTTCCATATCAATATACATACACACCTTGATATTTATTCTTCGTTATGCTCACATCCAGTGAAGGCATCTTTATATTCATATATTATCTATTTGCTACATTTCTTTGTCTTTCTACATTTGCTCCCACAAAATAGTGGGAATGAATATGAATAACCAAAGATTTGAGGAGAAAAATTAGAATAATCTATCGATTAATGGAACGAACACACAGATCTCCGGTTAATAAACACACAATGATGCCTTGGAACAATCACTTTCGGCAACGCACAAGTGCGCCACTGCAGCCCAAACATGCTCTGTTTCCTCTCAAATGGAGAGAGAGAGAGAGAGAGAGAGAGAGAGAGAGAGAGAGAGAGAGAATATGAAGATGAAAAAGAATACAACGTAAAAACCATGAATTCATATTTAATGAAAGCCACCACCTCGACTACTGCTGCTGCTGCGTACTCTCCGTCAGCTAAGCAGTTCTTTCTCTGTGCGCGCGGCAGGTTCGGCGTCGGAAGCCGCCAATTTATCGAGATTCTGCTGATCGTAGATTCGTCGAAGTCTCTCGATCTCTTTCTTCAGGGCTTCTCGATGTGCTGCAGCATCTCACGAAAAACCTCATCCACTTCAAATCTTTGATTAAAATTGGCAAAGAAATGCATTCGTGTCTGCTTGTTTATTTGGTAGATCGGAACTTTTCGAGACTAAGAATAGAAGAGTAGCAATACGGCTCAAGAAATACTACCAACTTTGAGCTTAATTTAGTCTCAGCGCCGCTGTTGAGAAGCACTCACCATCCTTGAAGATCTTGTCCTGCGCTAGCGCTGCAATCCTCTGCTTGAGATGGCTGTTGCCCATCGTGAGAAGGGAGCGCTGGTGATCGAGGAAGGCGACGCGAGGAGACAGTGCTGATACTTCGGTCTTCGTTTGGACATCCCACACACAGTCGATTGTTAGCAAAAGCTGCAGTAGGTCTACTTCTACCGCAAAGATTTATTTATAGTTGAGAAGGTTTGTACGTGCCTGCAACGAAGACACGCTGCGCTCGAGCTCCGAGATGTACTGAAGCTTGCGCACTCGGGACCTCTGCGCCGACTGCCTGTTGGCGAGGATCCTAATTCCTCCATGCAAGCATCAACACCACTTGGTTATGGCCAAATCGGAAATGTTGTTGTTGTTGTTCGTTGCTAGCGAATTACCAGATCTTGGCCTCACCTCTTCACCCTCTTCGGGTCGACAACCGACTCGGACTCAGCGCCTGCTTGCGCCGCCGTCGGCCCGGACGCTGCCTCTGGCTCCGTCTTGCACATGCTTTGCGCCTCCATCTGACCCGCAGCAGCCGGTTTGTCCTCGTTCATGCTGTCTTGATCCGACGACGACGATGGCGGCGCCGGCATCTCGTCGGAGAACATGGACATGAGCTGTTCGTCATCGAGGCGGTCGAAGCCTCCGCTCTCCTCCACGAGCGGGGCCTCCAGGAAGGCAACGGAATCGCTGGCGGAGCGGCGGTGGTGGTTCCGTCGGGTGGCAGAGAAGTCCAGGAACTCGTCGGCCCAGGCCGGAGGGTGGGCCGGGAAGAAATGATGGGGGGCCAATGCGGCAGCAGGTGCGGGGTGGTGGGCGAAGTAAGGCCAGTTGTTGGACATGGTGTTAGGGACTTTGGGAGGGAGCTGCGCCGTTGTTCCCTCTGATCCCTGCATGTGTATGCAAACGCAGAGAGAGAGAGAGAAGCTAGAATTAAGCTGATCAGATTGCACAGCCAATGCTTGCTATCTTATGACATGGCAGATGGGCAGCTGCAGCATCATGCCCTGCATCCAAATTCATGGAAGGAGACACTTCCCTTGCAATTGTCCTCTGTGACTCTCCCTCCCTCCCTCTCTCTCTCACAGACATCTCTCTTGTCTTTAGCATGGTGGTGAAGGTGGTGGCCTGGCAGCTTAAGCTGGCGGTGGAAGGAGGAGGAGGAGGAGGGAGAGGGTCACATGACAAGGGATGAGGGAGACAGCTAGCAACAGCTGGGGTTGAGTACAGAGAGAGAGAGAGAGAGAGAGAGAGAGAGAGAGA